TTCCAGATGCCTGTGGTCTCTCTGATGTAGCCCATGTGGAAAGCTTGCAGGAAAAGTCCCAGTGTGCTTTGGAAGAATACGTTAGGAGCCAGTACCCCAACCAGCCAACGCGATTCGGAAAGCTTTTACTGCGTCTCCCTTCCCTTCGCACCGTGTCGTCCTCAGTGATAGAGCAATTGTTTTTCGTCCGTTTGGTAGGTAAAACCCCCATCGAAACCCTCATCCGGGATATGTTACTGTCCGGTAGCAGTTTTAACTGGCCTTACATGGCAATTCAATAAATAAATCCAAATAAGAAGGGGGAGTGAAACAGAGAGAAAGAAAAAAAGGCAAAAGACTGGTTTTGTTTGCTTAAATTCCTTCTGTTAAGAAAGGATATAAAAGGATGTTACAAGTTTGCTAAAAGAAGAGAGGGGAAGAATTTAATGGACTGTGAATCTCAAAAAAAATAAATAAAAAAGACTGTCAAATGAACTTTTACAGAATGCATAAAAAAAAAAAAAAAACAACTCCTGTGTCGGTCAGAACAACTTGCTACTTATCATTTTTGTATAAAAAGGAAATTAGTCTTTTTCTTTTTTCTTTTTTTTTTTTTTGGTAAAATTTTGAAAACTCATGCTAAAAGTGCATTTAAGGAGATTGGGAGAAAATTAGCAGAATGGAGAAAGTAAGTCTTTTCTTTTTTTCCAAATTATTAATTGTCCTGTGTCTATGTACCTGTAGCTGTTCTTTTTTGTACTTTCCTGGTTCCAAACCAGTTTATTCTGTGGTTCTATAATAAGTTTTGATATAATCTTGGCTTCTTAAAAACTGTATATCCTTAAAATATATGTTCTGTAAGAATTAAAATCGAGTCCATGAAAATATCATAGGAAGACATAAAACTTTAGAAGGCAACTCAAAGATGATGAAAACGCACTTACAAGTGGTGACCAAAAATTTTGGGTGAAGTCAAGCCCTCTAATTTGAGAGCTGAAGGAACCACATACAACACTTAACTCCCCCTACCTGCCCCCCTCCAAAAAGAAAGACACCATGACAAACCTAGCTTTTTAAAAATATTTTAAGAAAGAGAATGAACTGTGGAATTTATTGGCAGCCAAGGAATGTGTCCAAGACACATGCTGAGGTTTTGAATAAAAAGTGAACTTTTGTAATTTGAATTGGGTCCCCACTTAGTTCTTGAATTGTTATGGAAATCCTATATCTGTTTGTATATTTGCAAACCCTTTGTATTATAATTGTTGATATTTTCCCTTTTTAAAAAAAAAATACCATTGAAATCAGCATGACAAAATAACACTGTTGGCACTTATAGGTAATGTGATTGATTCAGTATCTTAGAGTTTACAGTTTGTGTTTTAAAAAAAACTGAAGGTTTTTTTTTTTTAAGTGCAACATTTCTGTATACTGTAAAAGTTATAATAACTGAACTGTTTGGTCGAGTCTTTGTGTGTTATATTCCAAGGAAAATTGAAAGTATTCAGAAATTAAAATATTATTTGATATCTGAAACCTGTTTGCCTGTCCCCACTGACTGTCTTCTGTCGAGGCGAGACCCCCACCCCACCAGAGCTCTCGCAGAGCGGGGCTGGGCGGTCCATTTGTTTATGATCTTCAGTCAGTTTGTTCAAAGGTGGACTAGTGTATTTGCCTGCTTAATTTGGGTGCGTGTGGGGGGGAGCTGAAGTTAATGGTTTATCTATGCTTTAGGAAGTGCCATACTGATATAGTAAACCACCTCCATTCACCTAATCCTCTTTTTAATTAAAAATGGATTTTCCAGGGGAAAAAAAAAAAAGGCCCTTATATTTGTCACACTTAAGTGCCTGCTTAGGGAAGGTATTGTGAAAAGTCTTAGCAATCTCGAGATCAGTATCTATTTTATGATCAGAAAAAAATAGTGTTTTGTACATTTCTGACAGTTAACGCAGAAGACAGTTCAAGCGAGCTAATCACAGCATTGTAAACAGAGGGCAGTGGTTTGCAATGAGTTTTTCCTGAAGTAGGTGTGATTTTTAAAACTATTCTGTGGTTTCTCATCTAGCGTGGTTGTTGAGAGGATTTCAGATTCAGTGATAGAGCTTGTAGCGCTGAAGGGTCTGTTTTTAACGTCTATGTGATAACTTGCAGTTGGCCTGCCTGTCCCCTCCCCCTTTCCGTGCATTCTGTGAGAGCATGACCACAGGTCAAGAAAAGCTTTTCCATTGGCGTTATGTACATAAAAACGCATCGACATTCTGACATTTCGGATCGTGTAGATACAATCTGTACTGCTTCTGGGATCCTTTGTCCTCGGAAGCCAAATTAAGAAAAAGAAGAGCGAGAAAAAGAGAGAAGGAAGGAAACTTGACAGGGTGTGCTCATTTGAAAGTAGGAACTATTTTGTTTTGGAGTCTTCACCTCCCCCCCCCACACCCCTTTCTCTTTTCCTGGTTTGGAGAAAGCTCGGTTCGTGGGAGCTTGCAATTTTGTTCTTATTGAGGCTTTCCAGCGATCTGGCCCCCCACCCCCTCCATATTTCATTCACTATGCTGTGATTTAATTGCAAAAGGGGATGGGAGCAGGGGAGGTGAAGGAAGGGGGTCATTTTGGAAAGTGTGTTAAACTTTGATACTCAGTTCCAGTCAATCCACGTAGACCAGAAAAATCTCTGATTTGTGCATTTGAGCAAAGTTCTCCATCCGACCCTCAGCTGCTTTCTCTAGATACATCCGTACATAAATATAAGCATGTTCTTATGGCCGAATATCGCTGACCTTTTAGATGGAGGTTCTGTAGGTTGTTTTCTCCTCTTGCAAGTGCTATCCATGTGAGTGTGTGAAGTTTCTCTAATAAGTAAAACACAGGCCCTTTTCCTTATTTGTTTTCTGTTAGTTTATTGTAAACAGCCATTTGTTGTAAATTATTATTGGCATTAAATTATAAATTATGATTTTTCAAAGCAAAAGACAGTCCCTGTGTTATTATGCTTCAAGCATGTGTTCTAAACGTTGAGAATCTCACTCTCTTAAGTTTCAGCCATCAGCTTGGGGTCTGCGAGGGAGGAACACAGGACCCAAAATTTTTCAAACGGTTAAAACAAAACCCCTTGTATGTGTTTAGAGTGGCCGGAGGAGGATCTGTTTAGAGTCTTGAGCTCGGTTTAAGTTTATTGCATTTAAAGAAAGTTTTTCTTTTCACGCTGAGTTAGAACAAAAGATCTTTGCTGCGACTGAATTGGACAAAAGACGAGGGCTGGGACCCAGCGAGTGCGTTCTGTGTGAAATTGACGAGATCTTT